TAATCTGCTTCTTGTATATTCTTCCCTGGTAATTCATTGTATCAATATTATATTTAAAATATTTATATTACTTGCATATTCACTCAGGTATTTAGTAAGGACGAAATGTTATAAAATCATATTGCAAAGGTTTGAAATAAACAATAATTAGATGCTTTGTGTCAATGGAGCATCTTTGTGGTGAAATTGTGAACAAACATCAGTTCAGTGTGCAATGGGCCACGCTGCCCATGATAAAAGCTTCCAGGTAAGACCCTAAGTGCCATTGATCCTTGCTTCTCACAGCAAGGGCCCAAGGCACTGCTCTCCAGAAGAAATAAAATGCAAGCCCCATTTGTAATTTAAAATTTTATAGTATCCACATTTTAAAAAGTAAAAAGAAAAGTGAAAGTAACATGAAACAGTATATTTTATTTAATCCAACATATCCAAAATGTTATTTCGACATATAATCAATAGGATATTTCACATTCTTTTTTTTATACTAAGTAGTCTAAATCTTGTGTGTGTTTTACACTTGCAGCAATTGGAATTCAGATGTTAAATTTTAATAATTACAGTGAAATGTAGTTGTACCAAAACTGTAAAGTTTTGCTTAATAGAGAAATATTTTGCATTACTTCAGTTATTAAATGCAAATTTCAACTACATAAAATAAAATTACAAGAAAAACTCAGTTCCTCAGTTGTACTAAGTGCATGTCAAGTGCTCCATAGGCACCTGACTAGGGCCTACCATGTTGGATAGCACAGGTCTCTGGCATCAGCTGTGAACTTGTTAGAAATATAGTATCTCAGCCTCAGCCAGGCCTGCGGAATCAGAATGTGCATTTTAGTAAGATTCCCAGGTGACTGGTATGCACATTAAAACTTGAGAAGAACCATTATAGATCTCTTTGTTTTATCTTTGTCATCAGTAACATTACCATAGTTCAGGCTTTATTGCCTTTAGCTGCACTATTATAATTGCCTCTTAATTGGTCTCCCACCTACAATCCATAATTAATCTTCTGGAAACACTGCTCAAGGACTGTAAATTGTTCCCTGTATTTACTGAATAAAGTCCAAACTACTTGCCTTGGTAGAAGGTACTACACAACATGGCCATAGCCTGACTTCATTCATTCACTAGACACTTCCAGTAAGGAGAAGCATGTGAGATATTCATTCTTTCTTCGGCTACTTACCACGTGCCACTTATTGTGCTCTGTGATAGGAAAGCAAGCATGGATAAAGTCAAGTTCCTGCTCTAAATACTGACAATCAGGCTGCAAGTGATGGGAGAAAGGAGGACATATTTAAACAAATAATTATAATTGCTAACATGAAATTGTCCTCAAAGTGGCACAGTGAGGCAGGAATGATTAATTCTTAAGGAGAACTGAAGTGTGGGGAAGGGAGGTGAGAAAGGCTTCAGAGAAGAGGAAATATTTGAGAACTTGAATAATGTTTAGAATTTTGCCATACGGCAAAATGCAGGGAAGGGCATTTCAGACTAAGAAAACAACATGATAAATGCACTAGAGTATGATATGGTTTGGTGTATCTAGGGGAAAGTACTTCTCTCAGGAAATAAAAAGAAGAGCAAAAAGGCAGGGTGTTAAAGTATTGGCAGGCCACTTTAAATTTATTAGTACTTTACTTGTACCCAACATGGTTCCAAAGAAAAAAAATCTGAGACAGTTTGTGGGAGATGAAGGTAAAAGGAAAAATAGGTTTCAGATTGATCCTCACCATGTGTGCTTTGCAATAATCAAATCACACTACATACCAGCCCTTTAAGTTCTCCAAGAGTGGCCCTCTATGCATTAGGTTTTATTGTGAAATATATCAGGTGTGACAAAGAGTATATAAAATGGTTTAAACATCCACAAACCAATCACTACCTAAGCCTTAGGGTATCCCATCTGTTTCCTTCTTTTTTTTTTTTTTCCTTTTTGTCTTTTTTTACTGACCGGTAACGGGATCACAACTCTCGGTGTTGCTCCCGTACTGGGGACTGGCAATGGGATCGCAACCCTCGGTGTTGCGCCCAAACTGCGCTCAGCCAGTGAGTGGGAACTGGTCTCCACATGGGATCCGAACCCTCGACGGGAGCGCCGCCCTGCTCCCAAGCGGCGCACTCTCCAGTGCGCCACCGGGCCAGCCCCATCTGTTTCCTTCTAACATCAAATTCCACTTCCTCCTCAACCACAGATAAGCAGAATCCTGAATTTTGTATTAATAATCGATTGCTTTCTTTTATAGTTTTACTGCCTTTGCACATTTACTTACTCTTGGTTTTAGACATTAATAAATAAAACATATGTATTCTTCTGTATTTCTTTTGCTCAATTTATCCTCATGAGATTCATCCATATTGATGGGTCAAGCTGTATTTCATTTTCGCTGCTGTAAAAACGTTCCCTGTACTGACTATACCACAGCATACATATTTCTTCTGTTGTTAATGAGCAATGATAAGAAATGCTATCAAGAATATTCTGGCACATGTCTCCTAGTAACATGTTCAAGAATTTCCCTAGGATATATCTGGTGGTAGGGATGTTATTTAAAACATTTAACAACTTCAATGGCATGGGTATTGATCGGTGAGAACGGAAGATTCTCACTCCTATACACTATTGGTAAGGCTGTATACCAGTTTCAACCCTGACTAATAGTGGAATTGCTAAGAAATAGGAAATGTATATATTTCATAACAGAAGTGATTGAATGTATATTCCTCTCCAAGAGAAGTTTCGCAAATTCCTAAAGGTCCATCTCCTCACCAAATATCTGACTTTCCAATCGAAAAAATCAGAATGGTAGGAAATGGTAGCTCATGTTTTTAATTTGCATTTTCTTGATTGCTAATTACATTTTCCTATGTCTATCCAACGTTCATGTTGCACTTTGCTTTAGAGTTTACCTTGCTCTTATTAATACTTGTATAGCTACATCAACTTTCTTTGGCTTGGGTTTGTGGATATATATTTTCCCTCCTTTTTCTCCCACCATTTCTGTCTTTAAAATTTAAATATGTCTCTCATAAGCATCATCAGGTTGGGTTTTGTTTTATATGCAGTTGGAAAATATTTTAATTTCTTTTTGGAGCATTTAATACGGTCAGTGGTACAGTTATATGTTATTTTTGTATTATTTTAGTGGTTAGACTAGAGATTTCAACATGGATCCTTGACTTATTACAGCATAGTACAAATTCTTACATTCTCACTTCTCGACAGTGTTACAAGTTTAGTACAATTTGATTGTTTTATTTTTATCATCATTGATATTACCTTAGTTCAGGCTATGACTATGACTACTTAACTGTTTGAATGCATGACATACCTAACCCAAAATTTTCCAATATGTTCATTGAAAAAAATCTTCATATAAGTGGACCCATGCAGTTCAAAGATTTGCTGTATTTAAAAGCGAGTTCCACAGAAATACACACATAGAAAATGAAAAATCTGATTTATCTGCTATTTTAAGAGTGTTTCATTCTCAAGAACAATATCTTGTTTTCTGACCTTGAATATATGAATGATGGGAATATAAATGCCTTGAGGAACCAAACTTCTTTTTTCAGGTAATAACTAGAAAACACATCAAAATGATTGTATGTATCTCAAAGTCTACAGTTTCACTGTAAGAATATTAACTGTATTAAAACTTCCTTGGAGGTTACCATTCTAAATTACCTTCCAAAGTTACTATAAAAAGTTTACATTTTAATTTCTAATTACAAGAAACTGTTATATAGATGTGCTCATTGTTTATTGCTCTAAAAAATAAAAACACATTTGGATAATGTTCTTTATAGAAAATGAAGAGGAGGGAAATGGTATAAAATGGTTAAAGATTAGCAGAAATCTTATAAATCCAATAAATTAGTATGCATTTCTAATCTTTAAAATGAGTGGGATAGAATGTAGATATTTTGTGTACATGATGACAAATTTAGTATTAATTAGAGGACTAAAACATGAAGCCACTTTCAAACTTGAATCTCAATACTACAACCAAGATTACTTTGTGTGAACCTAAGTCATAAATGTGTTCAGTAAGAAAAATAAAATTTAACCTAAAACAACATAAGGACAATCTTGGAAGGCTGGGTTAAAAATTTACAAAGTTCTTAAGTCTTAAATTCAAAAATTAAACTATATAAAACGCTAAAACATTACACTATGGACGACTAGAATTGTAAGGTAGAATACAGGGCATCTAGTTAGATTTGAACTGCAGATAAAAACAAGAAATAAAATTTTAGAATAATTATGTCCCTTGCAATTTTTTATACTATAGTTTTCTGATTGCTTATCTGAAATTTGAGTTTAATTGGGCAACCTTTTTATTTATTTGCTAAATTGGCACTCCTATAGACAACGATAAATTAAAACCTTGGTGTGTTTCAGAGTGGTAACACAAGACGCACTGGTGCACCTGTCAAAGTCCAGGTGCTAGACCAGTGCTCTAACTTGCCAGTTATGTCTCTCTCCATCATCCCACTACTGTTCAGATTAGAAAAATACTTTAGGGAGCCCTATAATATAACCTAGACCCTAAAAGAGGAAAGGTGTTGGCTGTGTAAGAAAATTTCTCGAAGTCAGACATTTATACGTTCCTGGAAATGATCGGAAAAAGAAAGCACAGGAGTGGGGTGGAAAGTGGGGCACAGATTGGGCCCCTGAGCCTTTGGACGGAAAGGGAGCCGCAGAGGCGAGACAGAGCCGGGAGGCCCGGGTGGGGCCAGATCCGTTATCGCGCGCGCCTGGGCTGGGGCACGGCCGCCCCCAAGCCGGCGGGGGCGCCGTTAGGGCTTCACCACCCGACGGACAAGGGCGTGGGGACTGCGTCTGTAACGCTCCGACGCGGGAATCCCAGGGAGGAGGTGACCGCCTGCAGGCTCCTGTGTCGCCCCCCTACGCTCCGCCCCCGCCACTCGGGCATTCGCGGAGCCCCGCGGCGGGAGAGGCGGGAAGGAGGCAGGAGAAGCCACACGCCGCTTACTAGTTTGACTCATCCTGGAGATGCAGAAGCAGGAGAAGCTGAAGAGCAAGACGGCGACGAGCGCCATCAGCACGTTCGCTTGCTTGGGCCTCATGGCGCCGGCTGCGAGGCGAGCAGCGCGGCGGGTGCAGGGCGGCGGGCAGCGCCCGGGGTGCGGAGGCGGAG